GTTCGATAACTTTTTTTTCAACTAGTAATAACTATCCAAACATACGGATCTAAATCGTGAAATTTCCAGAGTTTGAAAAACTCTTTTGAGTCATCTTAACTCATTAAGTTGCATTGAGCCCTAATACACCCTACCTTATTTTTTAATCTATTACCAAATGATTTCACTGGGTAAAAGTAGAGTCATGAATTACTATAAAATCCATAGTATGCATGTCTGTACTATTTCCGTACTGTATCCATAATATGGAAGTGGCAGTTAGTATGAAAATTGGATTTCCATACTATTTCCGAAGAAGATTCATGCTATTTCCATTTTAAATATTTGTATCAAATCTCAATGTTAATCGTCATGGAGAGAGCGCTGCAACCTCGTTCCCAGGGTATTTAGGAAATACCCTGGTATGGGCTGGTCACGTGCCTCGTCCAAAATTTAGCGCCCGAGGGGGTGTGGGGAAAGTATCAAATTACATGATTCCAGTGGAGATATTTTGTTTAACAGTTAAAACATAAATTTTGCGAATTATTAAGTTCGAAATACTTGCTAATTTTTGTTTATTTTCTTTGCTTTGAATTTACAAGAACATTCTTACATTTTTACCAACAGTCAAGTCAAGAAACCAAGAAAATCGTTAATACTCACAGTGCTCTCTCGTGTTGTTATTCAATGCCGTCTCTTCACACTCGAGCGCGGTTTTATAACAAACGTTTATTATGAACTTTTCAGTCATCATTTCTACATATGTAATGTTTTTAAAATGAGATTTGTCCTTTCTTGTAAATGTTTATATGCTTTTCACCGATTTAATTACTTGTTACTACGTCTACAGGTCTTGTTTTAATATAAGATTGAAAGAAACAGTATTGTATTGTCTGCCGTCTGGGACTGAGAGTAGAGCCCAATATTAGCAAATGTAAACATTTGATACTAGCCAAACAGAGAAAGTCTGTCAGTGATTATAAAATTTTGGATTTAGTACATAGTAGTCGGTGATTATAGTCAGGCTTTAGCCTTTTTCTTGGTCTTTATTAATCATAATATTTTCCTAATATACTAAATCTATATATATCACAAATTTACCGTGTCAGACGCGCACAGACTGTCATACGAATAAACATAAATTTTCGAGTTTTCTACATCTACTAACATTTTTAAAGTTTTCATTGTGAATCATCTGTTTATTTCTAGTTCATTAGTCATTAATATGCTCTAAAAAACAAGGCTCTCAAATATATTTGTATATTTATTTGATAGTGTCATAGTGATATATGCATTTACAAGCAATCCTGGATATGATAAAGACGATACAAGCTGTCCATTAAAAAATAACGGTATTCTATTCCACAAAGCAAAAGATTTAAATCTCACTTGTATTATTAAGAATATATATAAAGCAAAAAATTTAAACTTGTGTGAGTTGTGTCAAAACAAAAGCTGTTTATAAAATTTATAAATATTGTAAACACTACTATTAATATAAAGCGCGTTGAAAGACATAATATAGTATACTTTGATGTATGATTTTAATACCGTAGGTTTTCAACAGACAGCTAGATTTTAACATATACCATGATTGTTGAGTTTCAGAAATGCCAAGGGCCAATGCAGGAAGTTTTATAAGCTTTTATAGTTAACAATCTGGATACAGTTGGCGTCTTGGCGTTGTTGGCAATATTTCGGAAATCAAATGATCTCGCTATTTCGTTGCAATTCCATGCCACATCTCATCAATAAATAAATTCTTTTGGTTCGAGTATCTAGATATACTTTACTAACAGTTAAATAAATGAATAACCACATTGTTTGGTCTAGATATATATATTTTCTTGTATATATATTTTCTTGCTTTTATATTGCCACGCCGTCCACGCGTGCTTTCTCAGTGACAAGTCTATAAGTTGAAATCTGATCCAACTTGCTTGAATTGTAACTCGACACTAGATTAGAAAGTCACATCACGATAAATATTAATTTTTAATTGCAGTTCTTTTCACGAATAATCACGATTTCTTTGAAGATTCAATGGTTATTGTTTATATTTAGAGCGATCTGATTAATTGTGACAATATATACTCACTCCCCCGACCCTAGTAAACAATATGCCATTTTACGCAAAATCCGCGGGTCACGTGACCAGACCAGGGTATTTCGCTCCCCAAGAGCAAATACCCTGGGTATGAGGTTGATCCGAACCAGGAATCGCTAACAAATTCACCAGAGGTTTTTCCTTTTTCTTCGTGCGTTTTCTCGCAGTTTGTGTTCGCCAAACCTAAAAACCTCTGGGCCAGGGTAGTCAAAATAAGGAAGAAAAAAAGGATTTTTTGGTTTTTCAAAGTGGAAGCACTGGAAAGAAGGGAGAATTAAAACTAAAGGGT